CACACACGGCGATACCCGTATCCCCCCGGATATACCCCCATGGGGGGCAATAATAAAACAGGTTTTTTCATGGGGGTGGGCTTATAATCGAGTAAATTTATAAGCGCCGGCGTTTATAAAATGACATACATATTTTTTTATATCTTTTAACACCAAACTGTAGGTCTCGTGCTTGCCTTTTCAATCGAGTCGAAGTTACATGGGATCGTCTGTGAAATTCTCGCGCGCGCTGGGAGATACACCCAATCTGACTCACATCCAGCTCCTGACAGGTCCTGCTGACTGGACCCGCATCAAGTGCAGGGTCCGAATGTGAAGGGAACCGATTCTGCAACATATCCGCCTGCTAAAGTAAAAATCGTTACAGCTTTTTGAACACATTTCAAATTTTAAAGTTTACGTGCGCTTATAATAAAACAAGTTTTTTCAAGGGGTGCGCTTATAATCGAGGAGGGGATATAAGCGCCATATGCCAATTAGAAGCGCCAGGCGCTTATCCTAGGGTGGCGCTTATATCCGGGGGGAGACGGTACTACTGGTTTCAAGACGTGCTGATGGTGGCAGGATGAACGATCGTGAGTGGTGATGCAGTTAATGACCGGGGAATCGGAGATGCTAGAGAATGTTTACTACATGAGCCTCATTCCATGCTGATGTCATGCCACTAATCATACTGATGTCATGTCACTTGCCATGCCACTTGCCATGCCACTTGTCATGCCACTTTCCATGCTGATGCCGTGCCACTTGCCTTGCTGGTGCCATGCCACTTGCCATGCTGGTGCCATGCCACTCGTCATTCTGATGACATGCCAGCTGAATGCTAACCATCCCTGGTTTGACCATGCCATGTCTTTGCAGTGATCAACATCGGATTCACAAAATTGTGGCCACTTTTGAGAGGAGTGCTCAATTCTCAAGAGTGATTCATTAACTGATAACGTCTCGAATCTCTACTGCTGTGCTTCTTCACAGAAATGCTTGACTATGAGACACTAGCAGTGTCGAACGAATAACGTGGTTGATGGTGCCGGTGCTGAGGGTGCGGATGGTGATGGTGACGTAGATGCTGGTGCTAGTGCTGATGGGTGCTGGTGCTGCTGGTGATACTAATTGTACATGGGACAAGTAAGATGCAGATGTTGAGATTGATGCTCTGATGCTGATGCTGATGGTGAAGCTGATGGTTGAATGAAAAGGGCCATGGGAGGATGTGGATGGATGTTGGTCATGGTTGAATGTGGCCCACCCACAGTAGAATACTGATGCTGGTTGTACACAGCACACAGTGAGCAGTGAATGTTCCTGCTGATGGTGCTGATGTTGTGTTGATACTGATGTGCTAATGCACGCTTGCAATGATACATTTCGATGGCATTTGAGATGGTACTCTCGAATAGTGCTTCGTTTAAATGTCAACCATGGTCAACCCATGCTAATGGTGGTGCCCGGAATTGGTATGGCAATCAATGGTAGTGCTGGGAATTGGATGGAACGAAAACCATGTAATGTTGGCGATTGCAATGCAATGGCAACCCACCATGGGAATGCTAGCAATGGAAATTGGAACAACAACCTGTGATGATGCTAGGAACTGAAAGGGCAATCGATGGCAATGCTATTGATGGGAATTGGAATGGCAGGCCATGGGAATACAAGTGGCTAAAACTGCATGTCAAACAATGCTAATGCTAATGCTAATGCTAGTGATTGGAATTGGAATGGGAATGCATGGTAATGCTAGTGATGAAGGTGGAATGACAAGACATGCTAATGCTAGTGGCTGGAATTGCAATGCTGCGCAATGCTGATTCTAGTGACTGGGGGAGTTGGAATGGCAATCCATAGTAATGCTAGTGACTTCAAATTGGAATGACAATTCATGGTAATGCAAGCGAGTGGTTGGAATTGCAATGCCAAACAATGGTACTGGCAGGGAAATGGAATTGGGGGAGTTGGAATGGCAATCCATCGGAATGCAAGTGGCTGGCATGCCAATTGACTGCAATGACCCAACACAGGTGCAATACGTGCAATAACCATGTCCTGCATATGCCTGCATGCCACGCCATGTGCATGCCACATGGATGCCACGTGGATGCCACATGGATGCCACATGGGTGCCACATGGATGCCACATGGGTGCCACATGGATGCCACATGGGTGCCACGTGGATGCCACATGGATGCCACATGGATGCCATGTATGCTACCTCCATAAGCAGACAAAGCAGCAGCAGCAGCCTCCGCTCCTACCGCTCCTGTTGGCCCTCCATCCGAACCTCCATTCGGCCTTGCATCCGAACCTCCATCCAAACCTCCATCCGAACCTCCTTCTGAACCTCCATCCAAACCTGCATACATCCCTGTTAACAAAATCTCAGCTTTTCAACTGTACCAATACCTTCTGCTCCTGCTGCCTCTACTGCTCCTACTGACCCTACTGCCCCTGCTGCCCCTACTGCTCCTGCTGACCCTACTGCCCCTGCTGTCCCTACTGCCCCTGCTGTCCCTACTGCCCCTGCTGTCCCTACTGACCCTGCTGTCCCTACTGCCCCTGCTGTCCCTACTGCCCCTGCTGTCCCTACTGCCCCTGCAGCTCCTACTGCCACACACCTTCACGCCCAAAACACACACTTAGTCAACCCACTCGCTGCTGCCAATGCTGCAGCTTCTGCCCCAATCGCCCCTCCTGCCCCAATCGCCCCTCCTGCCCCAATCGCCCCTCCTGCCCCAATCGCCCCTCCTGCCCCTCCCAACCCTCCTGCCCCTCCCAACCCTCCTGCCCCTCCCAACCCTCCTGCCCCTCCCAACCCTCCTGCCCCTCCCAGCCCCCCTGCCCCTCCCAACCCTCCTGCCCCTCCCAACCCTCCTCCTGCCCCTCCCAACCCTCCTGCCCCTCCCAACCCTCCTGCCCCTCCCAACCCTCCTGCCCCTCCTAGCCCCCCCGCCCCCCCTGCTTCTACGTTCATTCCTGCTGCCGGTGGGGCCCATCTCTCCACCATATCCCCAAACCTAGCCGATACTTCACACCCAAAACACACTCCTAAGTCAACCCACTCGCTGCTGCTGCTGCTGCCTCCGCCCCAATCGTCCCTCCTGTCCGTCCCTCCCTCCCCTCCTGCTCCCCCTGCTCCCCCTGCTCCTCCATCCGTTCCTGCTGCTGGGGGCTCCGCCACTGGGCCTATCTCACTCTCCCCAACAGCCCCCACTCCCCCCACTCCCCCCCGCTGCCCCCATAGTCCGTCCGCCCCTCAACGCAATCTATGTCAACCCACTCGCTGCTGCCAGCGCCGCTGCTGCTGCAGCTTCCGCCCCTATCGGCCCCCCTGCTCCTCCATCGGTCCCTGCTGGCGGAGGCTCCGCCACTGGGCCTATCTCACTCTTCACAACGCCCCCCACTCCGCCCACTTCCCCCACTCCCCCCATTCCCCCCACTCCCCCCATTCCTCCCCCGAAGCCCGGCCCCTTCACTCCGAGGGGGTTCTTGGAGAACTGGATTCGGATGGGGCCTCTATCGGAGGAGGCTAGAGAGGTTCCCTGTAACGCAGCGTGCACTGCTGATGCTGACGCTATGTCCTGCGGGAGTAGGGAAAGAGAGAGGGAGGGAGGGAGGGAGGGAGGGAGGGAGGGAGGGAGGGAGGGAGGGAGGGAGGGAGGGAGGGAGGGAGGGAGGGAGGGAGGGAGGGAGGAAGGGAGGGAGGGAGGGAGAGAGGGAGGGAGGGAGGGAGGGAGGGAGGAAGGGAGGGAGGGAGGGAGGGAGGGAGGGAGGGAGGGAGGGAGGGAGGGAGGGAGGGAGGGAGGGAGGGAGGGAGGGAGGAAGGGAGGGAGGGAGGGAGAGAGGGAGGGAGGGAGGGAGGGAGGGAGGGAGGGAGGGAGGAAGGGAGGGAGGGAGGGAGGGAGGGAGGAAGGGAGGGAGGGAGGGAGGGAGGGAGGGAGGGAGGGAGGGAGGGAGGGAGGGAGGGAGGGAGGGAGGGAGGGAGGGAGGGAGGGAGGGAGGGAGGGAGGGAGGGAGGGAGGGAGGGAGGAGGGAGGGAGGGAGGGAGGGAGGGAGGGAGGGAGGGAGGGAGGGAGGGAGGGAGAGAGGGAGGGAGGGAGGGAGGGAGGGAGGGAGGGAGGAAAGGAGGGAGGGAGGGAGGGAGGGAGGAAGGGAGGGAGGGAGAGAGGGAGGGAGGGAGGGAGGAAGGGAGGGAGGGAGGGAGGGAGGAGGGAGGGAGGGAGGGAGGGAGGGAGGGAGGGAGGGAGGGAGGGAGGGAGGGAGGGAGGGAGGGAGGGAGGGGGGGTGAGAGCGACTCCCCAAAGCCCGGCCCCTTCACTCCGAGGGAGGGGGTTCTTGGAGAACTGGATGCGGATGGGCTCTGTGTCTCATGACGCGAGGGAGGTGCCTTGTAGTGCTGCGTGCTCTGCTGACACTGACGCTATGTCCTGTTGGGGTGATGAGGAGGAGGAAGGGGGTGAGGAAATGGGTTACAGTTGTTTCACCTCTCTCTCTCTCTGACACTCGGTCTGAGGAGTCGAGCCGAGCCATGTGCCTTGTAGTGCCGCGTGCACTGCTGACGCTGACGCTATGTCCTGTTGGGGTGATGAGGAGGAGGAAGGGGGTGAGGAAATGGGTTACAGTTGTTTCACCTCTCTCTCTCTCTGACACTCGGTCTGAGGAGTCGAGCCGAGCCATGTGCCTTGTAGTGCTGCGTGCACTGCTGACGCTGACGCTATGTCCTGCGAGGGCGGGGCGGGGCGAAGTGGGAGAGAGGGCACGACAGGACAGGTATACTGTACAGATAACTCAAAGCAAGAAAAGGAGCTCTCTGATCTGGCTTCAGCAGCTCTCACTTCATAAAAGAGATGTTTTGAGACGTCTCAAAACATCTCTTTTATCACAAAGCAAGAAAAGGAGCTCTCTGGCTTCAGCAGCTCTCGTTTTGACTTCAGCACAAACTAAAAGGGCTGCATGTGTGGCTTCGGTAGTACTCTTGTTTTGACTTTGGAACAAATCTCACCGAATATTGCACGAAGCAGCATGTGTTGGTGACGCCTTGCCTCGTCAGCTTCATTTGGACATAACCCGGTTGCCTGGGAGGGGGAGGCAATATCAGGGAAGGGCGAGCATGAAGGAAGAGGGGGAAAGGGAGGGGGAGGACGGCAGCATGTGTTGATGACGCCTTGCCTCGTCAGCTTCATTTGCACAGAGCCCGGTTGCCTGGGAGGGGGAGGTGGAGGGAGGTAGGACGGACAGGGGACTATGAAGGAAGAGGAGGAGGGAGACAGAAAAACTTTTGCCCGCGCACAAGGCTAAATCCGTCCGTGCAAGGACGGCCGCGAAAAAAGGCTGCATTTGGTTCAATCAAGAGGATTAAGAGGACAAGAGGAGGAGGGGTGGAGAGTAGTGGGTGGAAACCTGGGGCTAAAGGTTTGGAAAGAGTAGGGGGGAAGGGGGAGGAGGGGGGGCGGAGGGAGGGCGGGAGAGGAGGGGGAGGGGAGGAGACAGAGGAGGAGGCACTCACGTGCCGAAGACGCTGAGAATCTCTGTTTCGTTGACGAATGGGCTGAGATTGCCAATGTAAAGCGTGTTGCAGGGCGGGTTGTCCTTGTATACCTGAACAAAGGGAGAGAATGAAAGAAAAAAAACAACAATTGAAGTGTTTTGATGGCCTATATGCAATAAAAACAACGACGGCCTACATGGCAAAGACAAACCATGCATAATAACAGAATTCGTTGCTCTCATTCTGGAGTGCATCGGGTGTATGCTGATGGCACAGTGCGACTTTTGAGAATTCTCAAAAGTCGCTCCAATGCAGCGGGTGTATGTTGCTGGTACAGTGCGTGGCAAGACAGTGCTACGGAGCCCCTGCACAATTCTTCCCAGCACAACCCACATCCCAGTATGGGGAATCTTTTTATATCCAACCCACCTTGGAGGGAGTGTACGATGGCGCTACAGTGCGCGGCATGACAGCAGCAGGAGCGGAGCCCACGGCTCCTCAACCGCCAGCCCACCTTGCAGGGCTTTACCAGCCCACTCACCTTAGAGGGAAAGTACGACGGCGCTACAGTGCGCGGCATAACAGCAGCAGGAGCGGAGCCCATGGCTGCTCAACCGCCAGCCCACCTTGCAGGACTTTACCGGCCCACTCACCTTAGAGGGAGTGTACGACGGCGCTACAGTCCGCGGCATGACAGCAGCAGGAGCGGAGCCCACGGCTGCTGCCGCGAAGGCGGCTGCTGCAGCAGCGCCGTAGGGATCATAAGAAGCCGCTCCTGGAACCACGTATCTGCAATGGAAAGGGAGAGGGGGGGAAGGAAGGGAGGAGGCAGTAAGACAGCAGGGGTGGAGGCTACAGCTGCTGCAGCAGCACCGTAGGGATCGTAGAACGCCGCTCCTGGAACAACATAACTGCATGGGAGGAAGGGGAGAGGGTGGAGGGGGACGAGAGAGGAAGAGGTTAAGATGGAGCCACAGCTGCTGCAGAAAAGGCGGCCGCTGCAGCAGTGCCATAGGGATCATAAGAAGCTGCTCCGGGAACCACGTAGCTGCAAGGGAGGAAGGGAAGAGAGTGGAGGGGGGATAGAGGGGAAGAAGAGGAGGGGGGAGAGAGAGAGGAAGAAGAGGAGGGGGGAGAGAGAGGAAGAAGAGGAGGGGGTTGAAAGGTTAAGGTTGGAGGGGGATGGAGCCACAGCTGCTGCAGGAAAGGCAGCCGCTGCAGCAGCGCCGTAGGGATCATAAGAAGCTGCTCCAGGAACCATGTAGCTGCCTGCAAGGGAGAGGAGGAAGAACGAGGGTTCCGTGATGGGCGTTTATGTACCACATTTGACGAAACAAGGGTGGAAATATCGGGATACCAACAACGCCGCGTAATGACATCAATGCCAGGGAGCTCGGCACATAGGAAGTGAGAAAGGCGAAACATACTGCTCAGAGCTTAAAACAACACATGAGGTCAAGGCTTACGAGGTCAAGGCGTCAGCGACACGGAGCCTCTTGGCTGGATCTTCAGCACCTGAGGAGAGCGGGAAGGGGGAGTGGGGGAGTGGAAGAAGAAATAAGGAATCAGAAAGCATCTTGGCAAAATACACTGCTCAAGGCTTACGAGGTCAAGGCATCAGCCACTCGGAGCCTCTTGGCTGGATCCTCAGCACCTGAGGAGGGCGGGAAGGTGGGGTGGAGAAAGACGGAGTGGGGGAAGGACGAAGGAATCAGAAAGCCTTTTGGCGAAATACAATGCTCAAGAATACGAGGTCAAGGCGTCAGCGACTCGGAGCCTCTTGGCAGGATCTTCGAAACCTGAGGAGGGCGGGAAGACGGATTGGAGACAGGAATACGGAGTGGGAGAAGACTATAATATCCAGTGAAGATTAAACCATGCGAGGGGAAAGGGGGAAAAAAAGGAAGATAAATAAAACGTGGAACAGGCGACCAAACGTGAGCACGCACTTAATCATGACTCTCTGAACTGGACCAAGAAGCGGATTTTTGTCCCCGAAATGCCATCGGAACAGGCCTCGTTATTGCAACCTACACTTTTGTTTTTCGTCTTTGAGGAAGAGTACATTTTTACATGAGTACCTTTTTTTCTGAAGAGGTTCTTCTTGGCCATTTCCGCTCGGAGTACCGCATTGGACTCGACATCGAACAGCAGACCCTGCACATAAGAGAGAAAAGAGGAACCAGAAGTAAAAACACTTGCCTAGCTGACTTTCCAACCATCTGTTTCTCAAGGCACGAGAAAACTGACCTGCCAAACTGACGCGACCGGATCAAAAGCGAGCAGAACTGACGCAATCGGTGCTGACGCAACCAGATCTGTTCTGATTTGGCCACGTCAGCCCAGCGACCGACCGACGGCCGTACCTGCAAGGCGTCGCGAGCGGCGAAGGCCATGGCTGACGTGGAGAAGAGCGCGAAGCCCATTGGCTGGTCGCCCTTGTACGACAGTTGGCACGACTCGTAGCCCGGCCACCAGCGCAGCAGGTTCTGCAGCTCGCGCTCCTTTGTGTCGGGCGGAAAACCCGTTATAAAAATCGTACGAACCTGGAACCATGATAATATTTATAAAATCGGGAAATAGGTACAGATCGCGCTCCATTACGTTCGGCGGAAAGCCCGATAAAAAAATATAAAAATGCCGTTAAAAACGAATCAGCAAGTCAAAATCGTCAATGCGAACTTTCAATCAGAGAGAGGGGAAAGAACATAGAGGCTAATGGTAAGAGAGGCACTGAGGCAATATTAACTGGACTTCGGGGGCGGACGAAAACAAACGGAGCGGATTAAGGTGCTAGTTGATTGGTGCGCATAGACTAATATAAAGAAAGTAATTCTTAAACGGCAACAGACGATTTTCGAGGCGCCTGAAAAAATAGATAAAAATATAATAATTACTCAGACGTTACAGGCGGAGGCTTACCACGTCTTCGCCTTCTACTGCGCCAGTTGGCCAACCTGCTAGTGCCGTCATCGAGGCACTGACAGCGTACGTCAACAAATCGACTGTTCAGATTCAACAATAAACGGCCGTGATAGCGCTGTTGAGACGCAAGTGAGGCAATGGCAAGGTAACCTTCGAGTCGACTGGCGGTAATGGGGCACTCAGCGTGATGGCATACGGAGCGGGAAACAGTGCGGCGGAAATTGTGGTCTAAGAGCCGCTAGGTCTGCTTCAGTCGAGTCTCTCTGGTCCTAATGCTGCCAGTCTGGGGTTCTGTAACTGTTATCGAGCTATTCAGGGCTGGAAGAAAGGGCATGACAATAATGGAAAAGCCGGCAATACCAACAATGGTGGTGGGGAATATATAATAGCGGGGTCTTGCAAGCGAGTTGACTTACTTTTGAGAAGCAGTATATTCTGACTTGCTTCCGCATATGAAATCTGCACTTTAGAGTTGACTGGAGCATTGTTTCCTCATAACGGGTTTCGCTTCAAAAGGAAACTCTCCTTTTTTTCCTTATGCTTGTAAACATCTCACTCCACTACACTCCACTCCCGCTTCGAGCAGAGCGACGGCTTCTTCACTCCACTCGTCACTACGCCTATAACGCGAACTGCGTACAATATTTCTGAATCCTGTCACTCCATAGCACTGATCCTTACCTCACCTTCCGTCGTTGACCATCCTCGCTCCTACGTCCATCCGCGCCGCGATCCACGCCACCTGTCTTGCTCGTCTCTGTCTGGTCGCGTGGCATCGCGTGCCGTCGCATCGCGTCGAGTCTCGTCGCGTGTCGCATCTCGTCGCCATGGATCTCGATCTGGAGGGAGTTCCCGAGGAGGATAAGGCGCGTCTCACGCAGATGATCGAGAACGCGCAGCGACGAGACGGGTGAGCCGAGACTTCTGGGAGGTGTGAAAACGTCTTAACCTCTGGTTCTCTCACGAGCACTACATATATCAGCATGCAGTGTGGCCTAAGCCCGCAGGTGAATGGTTCAGCGTGTGTAGAAGTTTGCTAAAACAAGTTGCGTTTGTCCAGGTTGCCTGATCCGATTTGCACCTCTCAGACAAAGAATCGGCTCGAATGCTTCCTTTTGGTGCGGACCAAAGAACACCTAACTTCTTATATCCCGTCCTGATCAGGTCCCGATCAAGAATCTATCCAGCGTTGCTTCAAAAGCCACCTGGGTTCCTGATTAGGTCACAGGTGTTCCCGCACTTGGCTTCTAAAGTTGAATCCCGTGTAAGAGCTGCATGAGGAACCTTCTGACACTTGGCCGATTTCACAACTCTAGGCATGCATTGTATTGAGCCTCACCTGAACCAGTACCCTTCAATTCAAGGTTCGAGTTGTATCAATGCCGAACCAGTCTGCCTCATCAGAAGGTTCAAGTTCTCGTAATGCTGGTGGATTGGTGCTTCCGGAGTGCGTGGACAACTTTAGACAGAAGAATATTGAAGAACTGTTACGCGATTGAATACAATGTTTCTCCCCAAACAAACTCACCCCTCGCTCTCCCCTCCCTGTTCCCCCCCAGTCCGCATCCCCCTTTCCCTTCCCGGACCACACACACCAGAACTCGTTTGTACAGCTTGTAGCTTGTTGGTGGAGCGGTGCTTCCGGGACTGCATTGACAATTTCGAACATATGATCCGGTGTCCTCTCAAAACCCTTCCTACACCAGAGCTCGTATGTACAACTCGTTGGTGGAACAGTGTTTCCAGGGCTGCGTGGAGAATTTCAAGCAGAAGACCCTGTATTAGGTCCCTCCCAGGTCTGCTCATCACTGCTCTCCACCCCAACCCTATTTCCCCTCCAGAGCTCGCATGTACAACTCACTGGTGGAGCTGTGCTTTCAAGACTGCGTGGACAATTTCAGGCAGGAAGACTTAATATAGTCTCTGCATTCTCTCTCCCTGTCCCCCACCCACCCACCCCTTTCCGCCCAACACGACCAGAGCTCGCATGTGCAACTCACCGGTGGAGCTGTGCTTTAGGGATTGCGTTGAGAATTTCAGGCGGAAGACTTTAGATAAGGTCTCAGGACTTCTCATCACTGCTCCCCACCCCAACCCTATCTCCACACCAGAGCTCGCATGTACAACTCATTGGTGGAGCGGTGCTTCCGGGACTGCGTGGACAATTTCAGGCGGAAGACCCTTGATAAGACGGAGGAGCAGTGTGTGAAACGGTGCGGCGAGAAGTTTCTGAACCACTTTGCGAGAGTCGGCATGCGCTTTGCCGAGCTGCAATCAGGAGCCTCCAGTGAATGAAGACATTTTTCATTCGTAAATGCAGTCGGTCATACGATAGCATGTCTCTGTTTTGTAGTAGTGAAGATGACAAACAGTACTGTAGCACCTAGACTCCATAAAAAGGAGCAATGTGTAAAGCAGTGTGGTGAGGGAGTAGATATTAAACCACTTAGGAGCTCCTCCTGGTGATGAAGTGTTATTAAATTAGGGTTTAGTGTTATTGCGGGTGTTTTTGTGGCTGAGGGTGATAGCGCATTTGCTGTTGTCGAGCAAATTTTCCCAAGCGATGGTGCTAGAGATTCTGACGAGTTGCATCACATGCATTTCTCCAAAGCCTCGCCGTTGCTCAAGCTCACGCGCAATTCTCGACAACGCGCCTCGACCTCACGCCCATTTTTTCGCCCATTGCTGACGGATACTTAGGTGTAGAGAGTTACACAATGGAGTCCGGCATTAGTCTGATTACCAGCACATTGTGTCGTCATCTTGATCCCCGCATGAGCATGTTATGGAGGCTTTAGACGGGCCGTTGTTGCTTCGTGTGGCGGAAGCTACCGGCGAGGCTGTTACCTCCATCGCGAATATCGCTTCCGTATCCCGCGCCTTCGCCCGTGTCGCCCGCTCGGAGCTATGGCCGCGTTACTGCCTCGCGCGCGCCGCGCTTGCGGAAGACGGCGAGGCGGCGGCGGTGGCCGCGGTGGCGGCGCGCCTGGTGCGCGAGGCAGGAAGCGCCGATGCGCCGCGAAACGCGGCGAGCGTCCTGGCGCGCTGCATGAGTGCGTGCCCGGGCGTGGTACCCGCGTGCTCCAACGCGCTGCGAGTGGAAGCCGAGCCGTGGAATCGCTGGTCCGGGAAATTCGCAAGGGAGTTCTGCAGCGATACGGAGGAGGAAAGCGGCGCAGTCGGGGGAAGTGTGGGTGTGGGAGGCGGCAAGGTACATGGAGATACATTGGAGGAGAGCGGCGTCAATCCTCACGTCAGCGATTCCTGTGCCCTCTCCTGCGCCCTCGCCACTCGGCTCTTTCTGGACGAATGCTTCCTCCCCGCCCCTTTCTGCCCATCGCCGCTCATTTTGGGCGAGGTGGAAGAAGACGAAAAGCGGAAAGCTAGGGGGGAAGATAAGGGGGAAGGGGACGAAAGGGGGAAAGCTAGGGAGGAAGTTAGGGACGAAGGAGCGCAGGAGGGCGCGGCTGTGTTGATGGCAGCAGGGGACTGTGGGAAGGATCACGAGGCAGAGGCTGAGGATGAGGAGGAGGAGGAGGAGCGTTGTGAGGTGGTGCGGGGAGCTATTGCTGGGTTCAGGCACTCACGGTAAGCCATGGCGATGTTGTTAGGACGAGTGTGAGGCTGTGGTCTCACCAGTGGGATGGGCCCACAGTGTAACGCTTGCTTTGTGCACAGTCAAAACGTAGGTACATGTTTTTGTCTCGTACCATACCTCTCTCCCAATGCCTGGCTGCAGCTTTCACAGCCTGCTGCAAGGCCAGGCGTTTGCTGCAAGTGCATGCCCCTTCTGCCATGACCAGGTGAGGTTGTGAGGTTGTTTGAACTTTGCTGTGATGTGCCATCTTATGCAAGCACTTCTGTTTCTCCTTTGCTATTGGAATGGAGTGTTGGTTGTTCATGAATGTCAGGTGTTTCAAGCATGGGTCTTGGTATGATTTTGAGCACCAGCTTTCCTGCAGGACGGCACACAGGATGTGCCAACTTTCCTTGTAGCCCTCCCACACCCGTGTTTAATTTGTCATCTTGAGCAGGCATGGAACCCACTGCTCTGCTGATACCTGTTTTTGAGGCGACTCAAAAGAAGAAATGATGATGATTACCAGCCTTCCCCGTGCTTTATGATCTTGAGCAGGCATGGAACGCCACTTCTCTGCTGAAATCGACGGCTCACAGTGCGTTGGGTTGCGATAAGGGAGATGCATGCTGCTTCATCTGCACCCAGGTCTGCTTCATCTTCATCTGCCTCGGCCTCCTGTTTTATAACTCACACTTTTCGATCCACATTTGACATAATTTGTTTCAATGCAATGTATAACCTCGTCATGGCTTACTTGGCAGTGCTCGGACTATTCTGATGAAGACAACGATTATGATTGGGATGACTGGGGTCGTTGGTCGGATGAGGTTGATGACTTGGATGATAGGATGGACCGTCTAGGTTTGGTGCAGGATGAGCGATGGGCTTTTTGACAGGACTTGTACGTACAGTAAGATGGTGGATAGGTAGTCATATAGCATGCTGATTTTTAGCGTGATGTGTGTTAAGGTAGGTATGTACATATCGGTAAGGTTAATCCACAAAGATGGGGGGTGTGTTAATCTCAGCCAAGACAGCATCTGGGAGATTAAGATGTAATCAATATTTCACCCATTTGCTTCTGGATCGAACCACTTTTAACTCCTGAAGAGCAGCCACAGCAGCCGCCCTGACCTCTCTTGCGTGCCTCTGCCAGCTCTGGATACCCCTGGCTTTCCTGTTCAGCCAACTCAATCGCATCCAACCCCTAACGAGCTGCCACGAGCTTGCGCTGAGCCTCAATCAGGACAACTGATCTGGTTACGAGTTTATGGATAAACAGGGGCTCAGTTAGGCTTTAGTGTTTTATTGCGGGTATTTATGTCGGTAATAACGCGTCTGCTGTTGTTGAGCGCATCTAGTATGTGATGCACTTCGGGATTTCTGACAAGTGGCACGGCATGCATTTCCCTGTAACCACGCCCGTTTCTCGAGCTCACGCCCTCTTCTCGATCACGCGCCTCGACCTCACGCCAATTTCTCGCCGTCGACGGAGAAATTAAAACGAATTCCTAGTTCTAGAGAGGCTTTTGAATGGAGTTCGACATTAGTCTGATTACGTCTAGGTCCTGCACTTTGTTTCGTCGTCTTGGTATCTTTCAAGCCGCATTATGCCATGGAGGATTTAGAAGGGCTGGTGTTGTTTCGTGTGGCGGGCGCTACCGGCGATGCGGTTACCACCATCGCCAATATCGCCTCCGTCTCCCGCGCCTTCGCTCGCGTCGCCCGCGCGGAGCTATGGCCGCGTTACTGCCTCGCGCGCGCCGCGCTTGCGGAAGACGGCGAGGCGGCGGCGGTAGCGGCGGTGGCGGCGCGCTTGGTGCGCGAGGCGGCCAGCGCCGATGCCCCGCGAAACGCGGCGAGCAGGCTGGCGCGCTGCATGAGCGCGTGCCCGGGCATGGTACGGGCGTGCTCCATCGCTCTGCGAGTGCACGGGGCAAGTGAGGATCCATTGGAGGAGAGCGGCAGTCACTTCCCCATTGATTATCACGTTAGCGACTCCTCTGCCCTCTCCTCCGCCCTCGCCGCTCAGCTTTTTGTGGACGAGTGCTTCCTTCCCGCCCCTCCTTCCCGCTCGTCGCCTCGTCCCCCTCCTTGCACCCCGAGCCGCTCCTCTTCCCACCGCTCTTCCCGCCACTCTAACACCTCCCACCCCGTCCTGCCTCCATGCCCCTCGCCGGGGGATGACAGGAGTGTGGGTGAAGTGGACGGGGGAAAAAAGAGGAAAGAAAGAGAGGAAGATGGGGGGAAAGGGGCGCAAGAGGGCGCGGCTGTGTTGATGGCAGCCGCGGGCTGTGGGTGGGAGCAGGGGGGTGAGGATGAGCGGGGTGTTTTTGAGAATTCTCAAAAACACCCTGTGTTGATGGCAGCCACGGGCCGTGGGCGGGAGCAGGGGGGTGAGGATGAGCGTTTTGAGACGTCTCTAAACCAGGAGGGCGCGGCGGTGTTGATGGCAGCAGGGGGCTGTGGGCGGGAGCAAGAGCACGAGGATGAGGACGAGGATCAGCCTTGTCATGTGGTGCAGGAAGCAGAGGTGGCTTTTGAGTCGACTCAAAAGGCGGCGGTGTTGATGGCAGCAGGGGGCTGTGGGGACGAGCATGAGGATGATGATGAGGGCAAGGCTTGTCATGTGGTGCGGGGAGCAATTGCTGGGTTCAAGAATTCACGGTAAGTCTTTTGAGGCAACTTAGATGGGCCCATAGGCACTCGCGGTAAGTCTTTTGACTCAAAAGAGACAACCCAGATGGCACCTGTGGGCTACGGACAGGAGCATTGGGCTGAGGCTGAGCGTTGCTGGGTTTAAGAATTCACGGTAAGTCTTCTAAGGCAACTTAGATGGGCCCACAGGCACCTGTGGGCTGCGGACAGACAGGAGCATGGGGCTCACGCTGAGCGTTGCTGGGTTCAAGCACTCGCGGTAAGCCATGGCGATATTTTTGGGTGCATGGGTGGTTGTTGCACTGGTGGCTGGTACGGGTGTGCGGGAATGACTTACGAGACTCCTCAAAACTTCTTGTACTGCCTCCCTTTTACTATGAGCCAAGAAGATGGGGGCTGGCACTGGTGTGAGGGTTTGGTCTCGCCAGTGGGATAGACCATGGTGTAACGCCTGTTTTGTGCCTGTTTTGGTCTGTTTTGTGCGTGGTGAGCCTCATACCTCTCTCCCAATGCCTGGCTGCAGATTTCACAGGATGCTGCAAGGCCAGGCGTTTGCTTCAAGCACCTGCCCCTTCTGCCATGACCGGGTGAGATGGTTAACAGCTGTGCGCGACCTCTTTTGCAGGATGAGTTTTAAAGGGAGTGTTAGTTGTTGAAGTATTTCATGTGTTCAAACATAGGTTGCGATGTGATTATGGGCACCAGCTTTGCTGCTGAACATGGGTGCTCTAGCATGTTAGTTACCCCACCCTCACCCGTGTGCTGTCCATCAGGCAGGGAGCGCCGCTGCTCTGCTGAAACCTGTTTTTGAGGCGCCTCAAAAACAGATGATATGACCTTGAGCACCAGCTTTTCTTGTACTGTACCCCTCCCTCACCTGTCTTTGTTATGTGATCTTGAGCAGGCATGGAACGCCACTGCTCTGCTGAAACCAACGGCTCACATTGCGTTGGGGTGCAACGAGGGCGATGCCTGCTGCTTTATCTGCACCCAGGTTGTTCCTCAACCTCCGATTGGGTTGTTCCTCTCTGCAACCACCGGTTCCATAATTTGCACTTTGTGTGTGTTTTGAGTCGACTCAAAAAGTGATGCTTGCTGCTGAATCTGCACCCTGGTTGTTCCACTCTGCAGCCACCAGTTCCATAGCCACCTTCAATATAATCTGTTCTGACGCAATGTATAACTTGTGCATGTCCCGCAGGGTCACTTGTTTGGGCTGTACAAGTCGTCACGCATGGGCTTTTCTGATGACGAATGGTGGGATGACCTTTCGCCAGATGAAAGGGATGACATACTAGATCATATGGCCTGGTCCTTTGGTAGATGTTGCCGATGATGACCGCGGTGGTCATGGCAATATGATCTAGTACCGGTATGTCATCCATTTCATCCGGCAAAAGGTCATCCCACGAATTGCCTGGTCCTTTGGTAGATGTTGACGAAGACCATGGTGGTCTCCCCCCAACAGGACGTGTACATAAGATGGTGCACAGGCCTTCAGATACCATATCATCGTAAGCAGGCTGATTTTGTGCTGATTGTTAACGTGATTTGTGTTAGGTAGTATGTACCTAGTCTGTCTGGGCTGTTTTTCTCAATGGTACCATTTTCTTTGCGGATCAGATTTGATTTGAGGTGGTACTGTAATCCGCTTCCACAAGGGAAACAGAACCATTTCTGTCGTACTCCTACAGTAATCAACCCGACTCATATCGAGCCCCTAGCAAGCAGCTGCAGCAGCCGCAGCAGCTCTGAGCTGCTCCCCACACCAGAGCACCCTTGCGGTGCGAGCCTCCGCCTCTGCCAGCCCTGTTCGCCCTGTTCGCCCTGTTCGCCCTGTTCGCCCTGTTCGCCCTGTTCGCCCTGTTCGCCCTGTTCGCCCTGTTCGCCCTGTCAACCACATTTAACCCTATCCAACTCCTAGCGAGCCGCCACAGCAGTAGAAGTGGCGCTGAGCTGCTGCTCCAGAGCTCCCTTGCGAGCCTCTGCCTCTGCCAGCTCTGTTCACCCATTCCACCGCTCAACCCTAACCAACCCTTCACCTAGCGAGCAGCCACAGCAGTAGCAGCCGCCCTGAGCTGCTGCCCCAGAGCACTTTTGCGTGCCTCCGCCTCTGTCTTGCTTGTTCATCCCCATTCAACCCTACTCAACCGCACTCAACTCCTAGCGAGCAGCCACAGCAGCGGCCCTGAGCTGCTGCTCCAGAGCTCCCTTGCGTGCCTCTGCCTCTGCCAGCTCTGTCTGGAGCGCACGGTGGTCCTCTAGCAGGGCAGCCTGTAATGGGGACAAACACCATTGAAGGTGATTGGGAATCAGGGCTTCGAATTTATTATGGAGAATCAGATATCTTTGGGTGGAGAGTGCAGGGCAGCGTGCCTCTGGCTCTGCCAGCTCTGTCTGGAGCGCACGGTGGTCCTCCAGAAGAGCAGCCTGTAAGAGGGATAAACAGCATTGGAGGTGATTGGGAATCAGGAAATTGAGATTCCAACGGAAATATTTGAAATCTTTGGGAGGAGGGTGCGGGGTAGTGTGCTTCTGCCTCTGCCAGCTCTGTCTGGAGCGCCCTGTGGTCCTCTAGCAGGGTAGCCTGTAAGGGGTACAAACAACACGGGATTTTTTTGAAAGTACTGTTTTGATGCTTCTGTTTTCTTCTGTTTGCTTCTGTTTTCTTTACCCAGTGTCTTTCCGCGTGCCTCTGCCCTCCCAATTTCCGAGATGCTTCACTCACCTTCACCACCAGCAGCTCTCTCTGAATCTCCCTCTTCCGCCCCCTCTGTTCCGCCACCAGCTCTTTCAGCTGCCCCACCGCTGCCTCTGCCTTCCTGGTCTCCGCCTCCTCTGCTTCCACCTGCCTCTGCTGCTGCTGCAGTGTCGCCCTTGCCGCCTGGTGGTACCGGGGGAGCGAGGGGACAGGGGAAAGAGTTGAAGTCTGAGCCGGTCATTAGTCAACGTGCTACTACACCTGCTGCTACCTCTGCCTCTGCCTTCCTCGTCTCCACCTCCTCTGCTTCCACCTGCCTCTGCTGTTGCAGCAGCGCCGCCCTTGCCTCTGTCCCAGGAGGGAAGAGGAAGGAGAAAGAAGATGAGGGCGCGCAGAAGAGCAGGCCCTGCAGTAGCAGCACCCATACCGAGGGGGAGAGGTGCGAGAGGGGGGATAGATGCGGGATGGGGGTTCTCTTTACCTCATTCTGAATGTGGGACCAATATCCCTACCCTCTGTCCCTGTCCTTATCCCTGTGCCTGTCCATCCGCCTGTCGCGGCCCCTACCTCTTCCCGTGCCCCTGCCCCTTCCCCTGTCCCGGCCCCTGCCCCTGCGCTTGCCGGGAAAGGGGAAGGGGCGGGGGCACTGGAAGTGGTAGGGGTCGCGATAGGGGATCGGCAGGCGCAGAGGTTAAGGGCAGGGACAGGGAGTAGGGATGCTGGTGCTGCTGCTGGTGACGATGCGGGCGCTGCGTTGAACTGCTCACAACCCGTCCTTCCATCACAATCTACTTTTATCTCAACCGGCAGGAGCTGGACTTCCCCTTTTCCACCTCCTCCCATCTCTGTACCTCTTTCCATACCTCCTCCCATCTCTGTACCTCTTACCATACCTCCTCCCATCTCTGTACCTCTTTCCATACCTCCTCCCATCTCTGTACCTCTTACCATACCTCCTCCCATCTCTGTACCTCTTTCCATACCTCCTCCCATCTCTGTACCTCTTTCCATACCTCCTCCCATCTCTGTACCTCTTTCCATACCTCCTCCCATCTCTGTACCTCTTACCATACCTCCTCCCATCTCTGTACCTCTTTCCATACCTCCTCCCATCTCTGTACCTCTTTCCATACCTCCTCCCATCTCTTTACCTCTTTCCATACCTCCTCCCATCTCTGTACCTCTTTCCATACCTCCTCCCATCTCTGTACCTCTTTCCATACCTCCTCCCATCTCTGTACCTCTTTCCATACCTCCTCCCATCTCTGTACCTCTTTCCATACCTCCTCCCATGTCTGTACCTCAATCCAAACCTCCTCCCATCTCGGTACCTCTTTTTGAATGCGCAGCATGGCAACGAGAAATGGCCGAGTCAGCAGCAGTTTCCACTGCCGAGGGGGAGAGGCGAGAGGAGGTTACCGCACCCACCAGCGCTGTCACCTCCGAGTCAGGAAGGAGTAACACAGACAGCAGTGACAGGACTCCACAAATCTTTCAAGTTCGTCAGTAACTCTTTCTGGATATGCAGGGATGCAACGAAGAACGGCAGAGGCAGCAGCTTGCACGCATCAGCAGCTTCCATTGCCGAGGGAGAGAGGCGCAAGGGGCGAGAGAGCTGCGGGTTTGGATTTCTCATCTCAGTACCTCTTTCCATACCTGTTTCACATTCCAAGGTAGCTCTTTCTGGAAGCATGGCACAGCAACCAGAAACAACAGAGGCAGCAGCTTGCACGCTGCAGCAGAATCTATGACCGAGGGGGAGAGGCGCGAGGGAGGAAGAGGGATGAGGCATATGGGGATGAGGCATATGGGGATGAGGCATATGGGGATGAGGCATATGGGGATGAGGCATATGGGGATGAGGCATATGGGGATGAGGCATATGGGGATGAGGCATATGGGGATGAGGCATATGGGGATGAGGCATATGGGGATGAGGCATATGGGGATGAGGCATATGGGGATGAGGCATATGGGGATGAGGCATATGGGGATGGGGGTTTCCATCTCAGTACCTCTTTCTGATAGTGGGGTAACAGATAGTGGTGACAGGATTCCATACCTCTTTCTGAATGCGCAGCACAGAGACGAGGAACGGCACAGGCAGCAGCTTGCACGCGGCAGCAGCGTCCATTGCCACACCCACCAGCGTTACCACCTCCCATTCAGCAAGGGGTAACAGATAGTGGTGACAGGATTCCATACCTCCTTCTGAATGCGCAGCACAGAGACGAGGAACGGCACAGGCAGCAACTTGCACGCGGCAGCAGCGTCCATTGCCACACCCACCAGCGTTACCACCTCCCATTCAGCAAGGGGTAACAGATAGTGGTGACAGGATTCCATACCTCTTTCTGAATGCGCAGCACAGAGACAAGGAACGGCACAGGCAGCAACTTGCACGCGGCAGCAGCGTCCATTGCCACACCCACCAGCGTTACCACCTCCCATTCAGCAAGGGGTAACAGATAGTGGTGACAGGATTCCATACCTCCTTCTGAATGCGCAGCACAGAGACGAGGAACGGCACAGGCAGCAACTTGCACGCGGCAGCAGCGTCCATTGCCACACCCACCAGCGTTACCACCTCCCATTCAGCAAGGGGTAACAGATAGTGGTGACAGGATTCCATACCTCCTTCTGAATGCGCAGCACAGAGACGAGGAACGGCACAGGCAGCAACTTGCACGCGGCAGCAGCGTCCATTGCCACACCCACCAGCGTTACCACCTCCCATTTAGCAAGGGGTAACAGATAGTGGTGACAGGATTCCATACCTCTTTCTGAATGCGCAGCACAGAGACGAGGAACGGCACAGGCAGCAACTTGCACGCGGCAGCAGCGTCCATTGCCACACCCACCAGCGTTACCACCTCCCATTCAGCAAGGGGTAACAGATAGTGGTGACAGGATTCCATACCTCCTTCTGAATGCGCAGCACAGAGACGAGGAACGGCACAGGCAGCAACTTGCACGCGGCAGCAGCGTCCATTGCCACACCCACCAGCGTTACCACCTCCCATTCAGCAAGGGGTAACAGATAGTGGTGACAGGATTCCATACCTCTTTCTGAATGCGCAGCACAGAGACGAGGAACGGCACAGGCAGCAACTTGCACGCGGCAGCAGCGTCCATTGCCACACCCACCAGCGTTACCACCTCCCATTCAGCAAGGGGTAACAGATAGTGGTGACAGGATTCCATACCTCTTTCTGAATGCGCAGCACAGAGACGAGGAACGGCACAGGCAGCAACTTGCACGCGGCAGCAGCGTCCATTGCCACACCCACCAGCGTTACCACCTCCCATTCAGCAAGGGGTAACAGATAGTGGTGACAGGATTCCATACCTCCTTCTGAATGCGCAGCACAGAGACGAGGAACGGCACAGGCAGCAACTTGCACGCGGCAGCAGCGTCCATTGCCACACCCACCAGCGTTACCACCTCCCATTCAGCAAGGGGTAACAGATAGTGGTGACAGGATTCCATACCTCCTTCTGAATGCGCAGCACAGAGACGAGGAACGGCACAGGCAGCAACTTGCACGCGGCAGCAGCGTCCATTGCCACACCCACCAGCGTTACCACCTCCCATTCAGCAAGGGGTAACAGATAGTGGTGACAGGATTCCATACCTCCTTCTGAATGCGCAGCACAGAGACGAGGAACGGCACAGGCAGCAACTTGCACGCGGCAGCAGCGTCCATTGCCACACCCACCAGCGTTACCACCTCCCATTCAGCAAGGGGTAACAGATAGTGGTGACAGGATTCCATACCTCTTTCTGAATGCGCAGCACAGAGACGAGGAACGGCACAGGCAGCAACTTGCACGCGGCAGCAGCGTCCATTGCCACACCCACCAGCGTTACCACCTCCCATTCAGCAAGGGGTAACAGATAGTGGTGACAGGATTCCATACCTCTTTCTGAATGTGCAGCACAGAGACGAGGAACGGCACAGGCAGCAGCTTGCACGCGGCAGCAGCGTCCATTGCCACACCCACCAGCGTTACCACCTCCCATTCAGCAAGGGGTAACAGATAGTGGTGACAGGATTCCATACCTCCTTCTGAATGCGCAGCACAGAGACGAGGAACGGCACAGGCAGCAACTTGCACGCGGCAGCAGCGTCCATTGCCACACCCACCAGCGTTACCACCTCCCATTCAGCAAGGGGTAACAGATAGTGGTGACAGGATTCCATACCTCTTTCTGAATGCGCAGCACAGAGACAAGGAACGGCACAGGCAGCAACTTGCACGCGGCAGCAGCGTCCATTGCCACACCCACCAGCGTTACCACCTCCCATTCAGCAAGGGGTAACAGATAGTGGTGACAGGATTCCATACCTCCTTCTGAATGCGCAGCACAGAGACGAGGAACGGCACAGGCAGCAACTTGCACGCGGCAGCAGCGTCCATTGCCACACCCACCAGCGTTACCACCTCCCATTCAGCAAGGGGTAACAGATAGTGGTGACAGGATTCCATACCTCCTTCTGAATGCGCAGCACAGAGACGAGGAACGGCACAGGCAGCAACTTGCACGCGGCAGCAGCGTCCATTGCCACACCCACCAGCGTTACCACCTCCCATTTAGCAAGGGGTAACAGATAGTGGTGACAGGATTCCATACCTCTTTCTGAATGCGCAGCACAGAGACGAGGAACGGCACAGGCAGCAACTTGCACGCGGCAGCAGCGTCCATTGCCACACCCACCAGCGTTACCACCTCCCATTCAGCAAGGGGTAACAGATAGTGGTGACAGGATTCCATACCTCCTTCTGAATGCGCAGCACAGAGACGAGGAACGGCACAGGCAGCAACTTGCACGCGGCAGCAGCGTCCATTGCCACACCCACCAGCGTTACCACCTCCCATTCAGCAAGGGGTAACAGATAGTGGTGACAGGATTCCATACCTCTTTCTGAATGCGCAGCACAGAGACGAGGAACGGCACAGGCAGCAACTTGCACGCGGCAGCAGCGTCCATTGCCACACCCACCAGCGTTACCACCTCCCATTCAGCAAGGGGTAACAGATAGTGGTGACAGGATTCCATACCTCTTTCTGAATGCGCAGCACAGAGACGAGGAACGGCACAGGCAGCAACTTGCACGCGGCAGCAGCGTCCATTGCCACACCCACCAGCGTTACCACCTCCCATTCAGCAAGGGGTAACAGATAGTGGTGACAGGATTCCATACCTCCTTCTGAATGCGCAGCACAGAGACGAGGAACGGCACAGGCAGCAACTTGCACGCGGCAGCAGCGTCCATTGCCACACCCACCAGCGTTACCACCTCCCATTCAGCAAGGGGTAACAGATAGTGGTGACAGGATTCCATACCTCCTTCTGAATGCGCAGCACAGTGACCAGGAACGGCAGAGGTTACCACACCCACCAGCGTTTCCACCCCGATTCAGGACAGGACTCACAAAGGGGTTACAGACAATGATGACAGTTGAGTTGACTCCATACCTCCTTCTGAACGCGCAGCACAGCGACCAGGGATGGCAGAGGTTACCACACCCACCAGCGTTTCCACCCCGATTCAGGACAGGACTCATGAAGGGGTTACAGAGAATGATGACTGTTGAGTTGACTCCATACCTCCTTCTGAATGCGCAGCACAGCGACCAGGAATGGCAGAGGCAGCAGAGAGCACGCAGCAGCAGCTTCCATGGCCGAGGGGGAGAGGCGCGAGGGGGTTACCACACCCACCAGCGTTGCCACCTCCCATTCAGCCAATCCCGTGCCAACAGCTGTCAGGTAGGCGGTTACTGCCTGATGGGGCAAGGGGAGAGGTTGTGGTGTAGGGTGTGGCAGGTGAGAGAGGGGGAAGGAGGAAGCGAGTGGGATGTTAGTGTGAGTGACACGTGTATCAAAGGTGTGTGTACGTGTAACCATGACAATGCGTGTCGACTTTTGATTCGACTCAAAAGTCACCTCGTTACAAAGGTGTGTGTATGTGTAACTATGACAATGCGTGTCTATGAGTGTGTATCTCTTTGCGTGTGACTGTGTGTGTGTGTACCTGTGAGTGTAGGGGACACAGCATTGAACATCAACCCATTGTGGGCCTGCCGCGCATCAGCAGGGAGGGCAGACATCATACAATTCACTCCCCTTCACTCCAGAATGACGGACTGTAACTATGACCGTCTGACTGATTGTGATTGTGCTTGTGATTGTGCTTGTGATTGTGATTGTGATTGTGATTGTGATTGTGATTGTGATTGTCCTTCACGTGGGACACAGTGCTTAATTCTTACCTTAAGAAGCCCATCGTGGGACGGCCGGGCATCAGCAGGGAGGGCACACACCAGATGCTTCCACTCCGCCACACTCAGAGCCGGCTGGGAGTGTGACCGATTGTGACTGTGACTGGCTGACTGTGACTGTGATTTTGACTGACTGTGACTGTGCCTGCGATTGTGACTCACACTGGCCCCTCTCACCTTCAACAGCCCATCGTGGGACGTCCGGGCATCAGCAGGGAGGGCACACGCCAGGTGCTTCCACTTAGCCACACTCACGGCTGGCCACGTGAAGCGAGGTTGTTTTTGAGACGTCTCAAAAACAACCTCGCTTCACACGCCAGGTGCTTCCACTTAGCCACACTCAGGGCTGGCTGGGAGGGTCTGAGTGAGACTGTGACTGATTGTGGGGCTCACACCGTGATTTTCACACACCTTCAGCAGCCCATCGTGGCACAGCCGCTCATCAGCCGGGAGGGCAGAGACCAAGATGCTTCCACTCCGCCACACTCAGAGCCGGCTGGGAGTGTGACTGATTGTGGCTGGCTGACTGCAAATGCGACTCCTACTGACTCCTCTCACCTTAAGCAACCCGTTATGGGACGGCCGCGCGTCAGCCGGGAGGGCAGAGACCAGATGCTTCCACTCCGCCACACTTAGGGCCGGCTGGAAAGCCTGTGATTCAGACTTGGACGTCTCATCCTCGATAGCAGCTGCTTCGTTACTAGCAGGAGCACCGCCGGCACTGATGCTTGAGGAGAGGCCAGCGGACGCATTAGCAGCAGCAGAGGCAGAAGCAGAAGAACCGTTCATTGGAGCAGAAGCAGCGTAGACAGACGTAGCAGCAGCAACCCCAACAGCAGCAGAATCAGGGTGGAGTGCTGGAGGGGAGGAGAGGTGGAGGAGATATGCATCGATGAGAGATGCTGCAGCCTGCAGGGGAAGGAGGGAGGAGGGAGAGAGAAAATTAAAGTTACCAGCGAGGGGAGGAGAGGCGGAGGAGATAGGCATCGATGAGCGATGCTGCAGCCTGTAAGGGGGCGGACACGGAGGGGAGGGGAGGGGGGGAAGGGAAGGGGAGGGGGGGAAGGGAAGGGGAGAGCAGAAAGGAAGGGGAGGAATCAGCAAATTTACCTGTGAGAGGAGGAGAGGTGAAGGACTTAGGCATTGACAATAGATGCTGCTGCTTGCAGGATTGTCAGTAAATGGGGGAGAGAACATATGAAAAAGGGAGAAGATAGGAGGGCAACGAGGACGGCCCTCTCAACACTGCACTACAATACCATACCCCGTTCAGTGCACTGTCCAAAAGTACCATAGCGACAAGAAAGCACCACCTGAAACTGCACTACACGACAATACACATGCCAAATGTACCGAAACAACAAGAAAGCACTACCTGCAGGGCTTGTGCGCGATCAGGGAGAGCGGAGAGGTGCTTTTCCGATGCAAATCCTCAGAGCACCACCACTGAACTTTCTAAAAAAGGCAGCAGACAGCATCTCAGCACGGCCTGCATAGCACACACCCCTACCTGCAGGGCTTGTGCGCGATCAGGTAGAGCGGAGAGGTGCTCCTCCGATGCAAAGCCGTGCAGCAGACCCTGATGGGGAGAGAGAGAGTAGCGGGGAATGACAGGGAGCGGGAGAGGGGGGAATGACAGGGAGCGGGAGAGGGGGGAATGACAGGGAGCGGGAGAGGGGGGAATGACAGGGAGCGGGAGAGGGGGGAATGACAGGGAGCGGGAGAGGGGGGAATGACAGGGAGCGGGAGAGGGGGGAATGACAGGGAGCGGGAGAGGGGGGAATGACAGGGGAAAGGAGTGGAACATGCTGAGAGGGAGCGGGAGAGGGGGGAATGACAGGGGAAAGGAGTGGAACATGCTGAGAGGGAGCGGGAGAGGGGGGAATGACAGGGGAAAGGAGTGGAACATGCTGAGAGGGAGCGGGAGAGGGGGGAATGACAGGGGAAAGGAGTGGAACATGCTGAGAGGGAGCGGGAGAGGGGGGAATGACAGGGGAAAGGAGTGGAACATGCTGAGAGGGAGCGGGAGAGGGGGGAATGACAGGGGAAAGGAGTGGAACATGCTGAGAGGGAGCGATCAGGCAGAGTGGAAAGAGGTGCTCTTGTGATGCAAACCCGTGCAGCAGACCCTGAAGAGGGGAGAGGGAGTAGCGGGGAAGAGGGGGGAATGACAGGGGAAAGGAGTGGAACATGCTGAGAGGGAGCGATCAGGAGAGTGGAGAGGTGCTCCTCCTATGCAAGCCCGTGCAGCAGAGGGGACAGAGGAGGGGAGAGGAGCAGGGGTGTACGACCGCAGCAAGCCGAGGTGACTTTTGAGTCGACTCAAAAGCCACAACCAGCCTATCCGCACCACCACCACACAAATACCAAATGCACAGCAGGAAAGGGTTTCGAACCACAGCAAGCTGTGGTGCTCCGTAAGAAATTTCAGGTAAGTGTAGCAGGGCGGGTTGCTTTGTAGAGCTGGGAAAAAACAGCTCTGCTCCAGAACTTACGTGCCTTTGAAGGCAAAAGGCGCACTAAGGAGCAACCCGGGTTTGAACCGGGGACCTATCGATCTGCAGTCGATTGCTCTACCACTGAGCTATTGCTCCACGAGCAGGAGATGCGACGACACCATTAAGCTGCATGCACTACTGCAACGATTTCAAATGCCCTGCAATGCACCGGTCCCCGCCTCACCTGCACGTCGCTGGTCTCCAGCATGAGCAAATTGTCCGAGACAAGGCACGAACCCACAACCTGACCTTAGTGCTCCACCACTACCGCAGGCCAGTGCGCTCAATCCCTCTGCACCACTCCCCACCTCACCTGCACATCACTTGTCTCCAGCAAGAGCAGATCATCCAGAGACGAGGTTCATACCAATCGCACTCACACCTCTGTACCACTCCCGACCCCACCAAACCTCACCTGCACGTCACTGGTCTCCAGCATGAGCAGATCGTCCAGCGATGCATCGGTGAAGAGCGCTCCTGCCCGACTGGGGGATGGGGAGGGCGACAGGAGGGGATGGGGGTGAGAGAGGGGAGACGGGAGGCTAGATTAGTTAGAGGGGAGGAATGGTTGAAGCATGAGCAGATCGTCCAGCGATGCATCGGTGAAGGGCGCTCCTGCTCGAGTGGAGGAGAGGGATGGGGTGGCGAGGGAGGGGCGAGATGGACAGGCAAGGGAGGCGACATGGGAAGGGAGGCATGAGCAGATGGTCCAGCGATGCATCGGTGAACAGCGCCCCTGCCCGGTTGTCGGGAGGGGAGCGGGAGGGTGAGAAAAAAGAGATGAAAATGTTAGACGGGAGGGAGGACGAGGGGAAGTATGAGCAGATCGTCTAGAGATGCATCAGTGACGAGCGCCCCTGCTCGACTGGGGGAGAGGGAGAGGGGGTGATGGCATGGAAGATACAGTTTCGTTAGGGTGGGAGAGGGAGGGGAGGGTAAGCATGAGCAGATCGTCCAGCGATGCATCAGTGAACATCGCCCCTGCTCGGTTGGGGAAGAGGGAGGGAGAGGAAGACAGGAAGGAGTTGACTTGAACATGAACTCACCGCTGCAGGGTGGCCTCACTATAGCACAGCACAGCACAGCACCCCCAGCAGCGGTTGCATGGGAACACTGGCAGCAGCAGCAGGCAACACTGGCAGCAGCAGCAGGCAACACCCCACCTCCACCCAAACGCGTTCAACCCCTTCACACCGCTTACCACTCCGCCAGTGTTCACTCACCGCTGCAGGGTGGCTTTCACACCCTCCAAGGCGTTGAGCACTATGGCACAGCACAGCAGTCCCAGCAGCGGCTGCATGGGAACGCTAGCAGCAGCAGCAGGCAACGCTGCTGTCAGCCCCTCCAGAACCTTCTAGGTGCTACGCCTAAACCTCACTCACCGCTGCAGGGTGGCCTTGACCCCTTCACTTGCGTTGAGCACAATAGCACAACGCAGCAGCCCCAGCAGCGGTTGCATGGGCACACTGGCAGCAGCAGCAGGCAACGCTGCTGTCAGGCCCTCCAGAACCCGACGGTAGTGCGCGGGGGAGAGAGAGGAGGCGGAGGAAGAGGAGGTGGACGAGGAGTGGGGAGGGGGAGGGTCGGAGTAAGAGAGGGCAGCAAGGGATTTTGGGTCGGGCAGGTTGTGCTGTGCATAGAAGGCGATTGCGCTGCCGTTTTCCTTCTCGGGCAGATTCTTTTCCTGAAAGGAGGTAGGGTGGGGAGGAGGGATGGGAATTGGGAGGAACAGAGAAAGGAGGTGATGAGTCGGGAGACGTTGGTAGATGTGTAGCATGGTTGAGGTGCTTCAAGTACAAGGAACTCAGTTTCTAAGTATTCACAGTGTACTTAGGTTATGTATTCTAAGTTCCAGTGTATTTTTAAAAGTGTACCTTGAACTTGGCCAGAAGGCGAAGGAAGATGTCGAGAGGCAGGAGAGCAATGCCGTCTGCAAAAAAAAAGGGAAAGAGAGCAGAAAATGTCGTTATACCCATTTAGATAGTTAGTTCTAGCTTCATGATTCGATATATAAGAGGGAAAAGTACGATGTGGGGAAGCAGAACTTGTGGGGAAGGAAGGAGGGTGTTTGAGCGAGCAAAGAGAAAACAACAAAGCCTTGCGCCCATAATTTGATTGATAAAAGATCACCACAGGAACAGATTTCAGAGCAGAAGATTCAAATGAGAGCAAGCATGGACACGTACCACTGGTATGAATGGGTGTGGTGCAGAGGTTGTGAGGTGGATTGAAGGAAAGATGGGAATTTAGTAAAATCAGAGAGCAAGCAAGGGTACGTACCACTGGTATGAATGGGTGTGGTGCAGAGGTTGTGACTGGAACCAGTGAGGGGCCGAGCAGACGGAGGGGAGGAATCATTCAGGCAAAGGGGAGGGGAAGGAAGGGGAGGGGGGTGGGAGAGGAAGGGAGGGAGGAAGCAGAGGAGGAAAGAAAGCACGTTAAGACAGAAGAGTATTGGATTTGAGGAGAAACCTGTGATTTGAGGAGAAACCTGTGATTTGAGGAGAAACCTGTGATTTGAGGAGAAACCTGTGATTTGAGGAGAAACCTGTGATTTGAGGAGAAACCGGTGATTTGAGGAGAAACCTGTGATTTGAGGAGAAACCGGTGATTTGAGGAGAAACCGGTGATTTGAGGAGGGGAATCCAAACCAGAAAAAATGATGACGAGGAGATGCTTAAAATCCATTAGCGTTACCTGGTAACTGCATGCTTTGCCTGGTCATAGCATGACCGGGTTCAAGTAAGATATACATGCAATGAAATGGGGTTACCTGGTAACTGCATGGTCCGCCAGCCTGTCTGTTGCCTCATCCACGATTCCCAGGGCGTCTGCTTCAGCCAGCAGGCCCGCACAGCTGACAGGGGAGGGAAGGAGGAGGGGGGACAAGGGAAGGGGCGAAAGGAAAGGAAACGGAAGGCAACGGAAGGGAAAGGAGGGGAGGTGTGTCAGCAAGGCGTATGCTTCAACCAGCAGGCAGGGGCCTTGCACAGCTGAGGAGGGAGAAAGGAGGGGAAGTTAGTGGGTGGAGGGGATACATGGAGAGAGTTTGAAAGGTGTGGGGTTGGGGGGGCGGGAGTGTGGGCGGTAAGGGCCATGCCTTGTCCACAATTTCCTAGGCATCTGCTTGACCCTCTCAGTACGGAGGTTGATTTTGAGAATTCTCAATATCAACCTTTAAGTACGGCCAGAGCATACGACTTTTGAGACGTCTCAAAAAGTCAGTACTGCCACAGCAGCATCGGCGTGTTTCAGCATGCAGCAGAAGCGAAGGGACTTGGCCATGCCCATACGGGAAGCACACTCTTTCTCGCTCCCCCTGCCGCCTCTCACAGTTCTCAGCAGCCCTGCCATGGCAGCAGCAGCAGCAGCAGCAGCAACCATGCCCTTGACACGCACTCTCTTGCACCGTCTCGAACACCCACCACCACCACTCACCCTCTCAGCACCGCAAGGGCAGCATCAGCATGTTTCAGCATGGCTGCCATAGCAGCAGCAGCGAACGTGCTTGTCCATGCCTTTAAGCCAGTACAGTCCATTCCCATGCCCATGCCACCACCACCACCACCATTCACCCTCTCAGCACGGCCAGAGCAGCATCAGCGTGTTTCAGCATGCCTGCCAAGGCAGCAGCAGCGAAGGTGCTTACCCATTACCTTCAAGCAAGCACAGCCCATGCCTATGCCCCCACCACATAACCACCACTCACCCTCACAGCACGGCCAGAGCAGCATCGGCGTGTTTGAGCATGTCTGCCCTGGGAAGCAGCCATGCCCATCCCCATGCCCTGGCAAGCAGCCATGCCCATCCCCATGCCCTGGCAAGTAGCCATGCCCATGCCCACCATGCCCATGCACCCCCCCCCCTGTTTCTCACCCTCACAGCACGGCCAGAGCAGCATCGGCGTGTTTGAGCATGCCTGCCCTGGCAGCAGCAGCAGCAGCAGCAGCAGCAGAAGCAGCAGCAGCAGCAGCAGCAGAAGCAGCAGCAGCAGCAGCAGCAGCAGCAGCGGACGTGCTTGCCCGTGCCTGTACAGCAAGCACAGCTCACGCCCATGCCCCCATTCCACCACCACCTCTCACCCTCTGAGTACAGCAAGGGCAGCATCGGCGTGTTTGAGCATGCCTGCCATGGCTGCAGCAGCGAACGACAGCAGGTTCACTCGGTACTTGCCCATGCCCTTGCGCGAGTCATCCTTCATTCCCAGGAATGCGGCTGGAGGGGAGGAGAGGGAGGAAGGAGGGACGCAGAGAAGAAAGGGATCAAGGGAGTGGGGTGAGAGAGGGAGGACAGCACAGCAGGTTCACACGGTGCTTGCCCGTGCCCTTGCGAGAATTGTCCGTCATTCACAGGAACGCGGCTGTTGAGGAGGGAGGTAGGGAAGGGAGAGGGGTGAGTGAGGAACAGAGGGACAGCAGATTCACGCGGTACTTGCCCATTCCCTTGCGTGGATCGTCGGTCATTCCAAGGAATGTGGCTGGAGGGGTGGGGGATGGTAGGGGGGCAGAACGCAGAGAAGAAAGGGAGGAAAGGAGTGGGGTGAGGGAGGGACAGAAGGACAGCAGGTTCACGCGGTACTTGCCTATTCCCTTGCTCGAATCGTCTGTCATTCCAAGGAATACGGCTGAGTGGGGAGTGGAGGAGGGGAAGAAAGGGAGGAAGGCAGTGGGGTGAGGGAGGGATGAAGGGACAGCAGGTTCACTCAGGACTTGCCCATGCCCTTGCACGAGTCGTCCGTCATTCCCAGAAATGCGGCTGGGGGGGAGGGAAGGGGAAGAGAGAAGGGAGAAAGGGGGGGAGTGAGAGTGAGAGAGGGGCAAAAGTACAGCAGGTTCACACGGTATTTCCCCATGCCTTTCCCAGGAACGCAGCTAGAGAAGGGGGGGTCAGGAGAGAGGAAGGACGCAGAGAAGAAAGGGAGGATCTCACAACTCATACTCTCAAATGGTCCTTTCATTGGTTATTACAGGAGTTACAGGCATGCAAGGTGGTGGCTAATGTGTGAGTCTTGTGCACAAAAGGCTCTTACTACTCCCTTATCACTTCCCCCCCCTCCCCTAAGCTAGGTCCAGTGCAGGATCGAGGACCGAGAGGCAGTCCCCTAGGGACGGTGCCTCCCCCACCACCTCCAGCAGTGGGTTTTCTACTGCAGCCGCTATGTTGCACTTCTCCAAGTAACCAATCGACTGCCCCCTTTGAAGCGCCACCGACCACCGCTGCCGACCAACCCTCATACTCTCTCTCTCACTCAGACTCACTTTTTCACTCACGCTTACTCTCCCACGCTCACACTGACTCACCAGCACAGGCGAGGGCAGGAGCATCAAGTGGTGAGATCTTGAAATCCATCCCGTAGCAAAAGCTGGCGACCTTTGGAGGGGCGTAGGGATGGGGGACGGCATAGATGTGAGACGGGACAAGGGAGCAGGCAGGAGTTTCAAGCGGTGAGAAGGAATGGATCTTGAAATCCATGCCACAGCAAAAGTGTGCTATGAATCTATTTTTGAGTCGACTCAAAAATAAATCCATCCCGTAGCAAAAGCTGGCGACCCTCGGAGGAAAGAGGGGGGTGGAGTGAGGAAACAAGGGTGTGAAGGGTGTGGATGGGTGTGGAGGGGTGAGGGGACCTGCATATACGCCCTTGAACCTGCATGAGCTCCCTCTTTCCTCAGGGAAATCCCAAGAGGCGAGGAGAGACTAGTGAGTGAAATCGTGCCTCACTACTTAACTTGCCTAGCTTTTCGCTCTTATCACTATTTACCACCAGCACCAGCCTGCTTAAACGTCCTTCGTCTTCCGGATCATTCCAGTAGGAGAATGGGTGTTTTGGCTAGCTTAATTCGTTTTTACTGAGCCCTATTTCCCACCACCACCCACCTGCTTGAAGGCCCTTTCTCCTCCGGGCAAGCCCACGATGTCGATGTGGTTGCGACCAGAATCAGGGTCCTCAGTGGATGACTCCTGGAAAAAGTCACTGGAGAAAATGGGGAGAAAATTGGGAGAAAACGGGGAGAAAATTGGGAGAAAATGGGGAGAAAATGGGGAGAAAATGGGGAAGGTGAGATGATGAGCAACATGGGATCAGCGAAGGGGGAGAGAGGATAGGGAGAAGCGAAGTTGAAGCCCGGAGCAGCACGCACGCACGCACGCATGCATACATGCACGCACACATACACGCACACACACACACACACGCACACACACACACACGCACACACACACACACACACACACACACACACACACACACACACACACACAGACTGTGTGGCTTGTTTAGCAAGAAAGGAAGGATCAGCAATATACACGTCATAGTTGCAAAAGGTCAGAACAATCACTCGAACAAGGTAGGGTTAGAAACACTCACGTGCGTGCGTATAGCAGGTACTTGTGAACGTTGAAAGACACTGAATGAGTTGACTCAAAAGGTGTGATCATGGGGTTATAAGTACTCACGTGCGTGCGTATAACGGGTACTTGTGAACGTTGAAAGAGAATCCGGGTACAGTCACTCCTGGTGCAGTCATCCCCGGTATAGTCACACTCAGGTCGCTCCTCATGCCAGCTCGCCTCAGCCACACAGCCTCCAGCTCCTCCACCGACATGGATGCCACGTCAACTGCCATGCTCGCTCAGCGGATAAGGACAGCGGACTGCCACGTGTCAGCAGGCTACAGGAAACGGAGACTGACGGAACCAACTGCACAACCCCTTGAGTCCCCTGATTCCTCTTCCAACGGAACAAAGGGTGAGCGGTAATAGAAGCAGGAAGTCGCAGGCTAACTTCCTTCTACATTCAAAGCAACGCAATCCCGCTCTCTTATGAAATCATTATAATTCTACACGTCTGTTTTGCAGCAGAAGCGCTGAGCCAGAAAGCGCGGCTCGTCGACACGGTGGAGCAGCAGAGCTGCTGGCTGAACGGCGGCACAGCAGAGCAGCTCTGCTGCTCCTCCGTGTCGACGAGCCGCGCAAAGAAGAACGGCGGCACGGCAGAAGCTCCTGACCCCACCGAGAGCCGCTGTTCCTGCTCGCATCCTGACAGGAAGACTCTTTGATTTGCGCCTTGAGGTGAACGACGTCTTAACGGGGAGCTGATGCGTTCGAGGTGACGAGTGTGATCCAATCTGGTAACCAGAAACTGACGTCTTCGCGGAGCACTGAAATGACACGAAGACCGCGCTTGGTTTAGATTCCTTCGTCGCGTGCGAAGAATGTGTGAGATTCGAGAAACAAAGGGACACATTGCTCGCGGCGAATGGTTCTCGAAATCAACGACCCGGCTTTCGTTCGAGGCCGCTGGCCAGCGAGACACTGTGGTCTGGTAGGCGATAGGAATTCAGTCGGACTCGATGCAAGCGGTGCTTTCGAGGACAGCACTAAACGCGTACAGTAGTATCGATCATACCTCCCGAAGTTGACTTTTGAGTCGACTCAAAAGTCACCTCGATCATTCCTCCCAAAGTTGACTTTTGAGTCGACTCAAAAGTCACCTCGATCATACCTCCCGAAGTTCAACCGTTGGTCGTCTACGTGCGAATGCGAAGATTAAAATAAGTAAGAAACAGACTCCACTGGCTGCGCCTGTGCGACGAACGTCGTTTGCTGCGACGGTCTGCGAGAACGGACATTTCCAGGACTCAGCCTGCTGCGATGAGCTAGTGACAGCGGCGAGGAGATCGAGGGAAGTAAAGACACCAAGGATCGCGCAAAACCGCCGTGACAGTAGGACCGCTTCTTGCAGAGGCTGAAGAGGTCGGTAAGGTAGTACTTGCATTGTGCGAGCCGCCATGACTGTTCAAATTGATACTACCGATGGCCGACCCGCCTTTGATGTATGTCAGAGGCATGCTGGTGTTCAACCCATCCGTTCCTTGGGTTCAGTACGGTGGTATTGCGTTCCAAAGCGGCGAAGAGCGAACCACCTGACAACGAGACTGGACTGAACCGAAGTCCGGTAATTTGCAATATTCGCACAGGAGCGCCATACGAGTTGATTTACAGATAGGCGAGTAGCGGTTCAAAACGGTGACGTGCATTACATCCAGTTTCACCGTCTCCCACCGAAAAAAACCGCTCGAAGTGTTTTTCATCCCCCACTGTCTGGTCGGTAGCTCCGTCATGACAGGTTTGGTAGCAAAAACTCGCTGCCGCTTTGAAAACTCTTCAACTGTTCTGTGATGCTACTCGACGGCTCTTAACCGTGAACCACCTTAGTCAGTGATTCAGGCTGGGCACAATTCACAAGTGGGTTGGTACTGAACGCGCACTGGGAAGGCCCCACACCCAAACATTTATCCTTGGTAGCAGGATCTCCTGCTAAACACTTGGCCCTTATCGCTTTAACAGTCTGATTGGTAGTTCATACGATTATGACGAGGAACAAATCAGCTACAACTGTAGTTAATCCAACCCATGGCCTGAATGGCCAAACCCTTCTGATCTGAGTACCAAAATTGTCCCGGGACTTCAGGAGTCTGTAAAACTCTAGCCAGCTATGGGGCTGAGGTTATGCCTCGAAAACCAGTCATCATAACCCTTCGGTTCTATGTTCCGTAGTATTATCTACATCTGCGTACTACATGGAAAACAGAAAATTGTACCATTTTTCCATATGCTATGCTACCTCCGCTGCTCCCAGTCCAATGGTCCTTCCTGGAATGCTGCTACTCTCTGCAGCTCCACCATACATACACCTCACACTCTCCACCATCCGTACTCCCTCCATCCATGCTCCCTCCACCATCCATGCCCCCCTGTCATCCATGCTCCCTCCACCATTCATACCCCTTCCACCATCCATTCTCCTTTTCTAAAGTCAATCCACTTATTGTGAGCATTCCGCTGCCAGAAAAGTCAGCTTTAGGGAGGTTTCGCCTCCATTGTGTCTTCCCTCCCCCCCCCCCCCCCCCCCCCCCCCAACCAACATTCGTTACGCTATCCTGTCCCCTCTCCCATCAGCTCCGCTCTGCTGTTTCCGCGTGCTCCTAGTTTCACTTCTGCAACCCCCAATTCCTCCGCGGCTGCTGCTGGCACTGTTAAGCCCCCCCCCCCCCAAATCCCCCCTCCCCCACCTGTGATCTCCGCTCCGCTGGTTCCGCGTGCTTGCAGCTGCACTCCTGCGACTCCCAATTCGTTCGCTGCTGTTGCTGCTGGCACTGTTCAGCCTCACCCTGACCGCTCCAATTATCTCTGCTCTGCTGTTTCCGCGTGCATGCAGATGCACCCGTGTAAACCCTAATTCGTCTGCTGCTGCTGCTGCTGCTGCTGCTGCTGCTGCTGCTGCTGCTGCTGCTGCTGCTTCTGAGTCGACTCAGTTTGAGTCGACTAGAAATACAAAAACGTTGCTGGTTCCACTCTCGTCTAACGGCATTGCTGCCTCTAACAGCGACTCCCAATTCGTCCACTGCTGCTGCTGGCGTTACTCCGCTTCCTCCACCCCGCGCCCCCCCATCCCCTCCGCTGCGCTGCTTCCCCACGCGTCTAACGCGTCCCCACGGCCCCCATTGCAACGGGGGGAGAGGGGGTGCGGAGAATGCGGGTAGTAGCGGCGTCTGGCGCAAAAAACTCTTTTGAGTCGAACCTCTAGTCACTTCCAGTTGAAGCGGGTAGTGGCGGCGTTTGGGCGGGGGAACCACGCGGCGGGCAGGGCATTCTATTTTAGCGGGATGACGGGGGGCATTGGGGGCGATGGGGAGACGGGGTGGGGGGAATGATGGGGCGATTATGAATGGTTTTCGATTTGCGGCTCTGGCGGGGCAGCGGAGGTCTCGGCGGCAGATGAGGGACATGTAAACACGCAGAGAGGGGGTGACGGCGGGCCTTCGGAGTTGCCCTCTTGAGTCACCTCTAAGAATAGTGAAGATTCGGAAATTTCTGAAAATATTTTAAGAAATCGGGGAGTGTTGAGGCGCCTCAAGAGGGCCTTAGGAGTCGTTTTCTCAAGTGGGACTGGTGGGGATGGTGGGTGGGAGTAATGGAGGCGGTTTGCGCGTCGTTGTCCGCCCGCGCGTCGTTGTCTTGGGCGGGGGCTGCAGCGGGGCTGCGGAGGTCGCGGTGGCAGATGGGGCAGGCTCCGGTTTCGGAGCCGAGGGGATGACGAGGGCGTTGAGGCTAACAGGGCCTTAGGATTCGTTCCCTTGAGTAAGTACGGTGGGGACGGTGGGGGTGGCGGGGGCTGCAGCGGGGCTGCGGAGGTCTCGGCGGCAGATGGGGCAGGTGGTTTTGGCGGCGAGCCAGAGGTCGATGCAGTCGGCGTGGAAGCCGTGTGCGCACGCCGGCACCACCTTGATGCGCTCGCCCGCCGCGTACTCGCCCAGGCACACCGCGCACTCCCGCGTGAGCCTCTCCGCGCGCCCAGGCCCCCGCGGAAGGCTGTCGCACGGACTTGGGCCAATCGTTGACGCGCTGCTTGACGCACTCAGCGGCGCGACTGCATCGTCTTCGCGAAGATTTGCGGAATCGCTGGCGACGATAATCGCCACGTGGTCGCTCGCGTGAGAATTGCCGTGATTTTCAGGGAAATTTTCTCCGCAATTCTCGGCGCAAGGTGCGGGGTTACCAAAACGGCTGTCTTCCGCCATAAGAAACCCATCACTCCCTGGACCGTCCAAAGCGTCCGAACCGCAATACGTGAACACGGGGAACGAGCGAATCGTGGCGCGGTCGAGCCCGGGAATCGCGGGCTTCTGGTCCAGATGTCGCACCCAGATCACCCGTGGGAGCGCGCGCTCCGTCGCAGGGCTGCTGTCGAGATTAATCTCGAACCATTTCAGCCGTCGGATCACGCAGACGGCGACGGCGATGGTGAAAACGAGGATTATGCAGACGGCGAGCGCGGCTGCGAAGGTGGAGGGGGAGAAAGAGCCGCTGGTCGGCTGGCTCGGACACGGATGTAGCATCGACGGTCTGCACGCGTCCTCCATAGCGTGCCTTGCTTTTGAGTCGACTCAAAAGCAGCGTTCTCGAAAAGACCTGCGAACGACCTTCGAAAGAAAGTCTAGATATGGCAGAGTCTACAAAGAACGGTATCAGAAGTCCGGCTACGAACGTTTATATGGCTTCCGTCACTGCGCTTCGTGACACAGAAGGCGGCAAGAGCACAAACGCTACAAAGAATGGCTGTCACAATCAAAGACGACCCCTTATGACAGCTACAAAGATGACCCCTTAAGACGGCGGACTTCAATCAAAGACGACCCCTTCTGACAGCTACAAAGAAAGGCTGTCACTTATCTTGAATCACAGGCTGTCTGGGCTGTCACTTATCATAAATCAAAGAGTAGGAAAGCAGAAACTGGTATGGGGCTCCTGAAACGAATTTTATGGACCAGCTCTGTAGGAGATTAGAGAAGGAGGGACCAGGCTGGACCAGCCGAGCCAAGAAGCAAGAGGCTGGCGGGCGGCGCGGTCGGTCGGCGGAGGAATGAGGGAAAGATACTGTGGAATTGCACATTTTATGCAACGCAAGGGTGTGGCGTGGCGTGGCGGCCGAAATAACAGAGTACAGTGCATGCAGCTGCAAAGCAAACCGCAAAGTCGGTCAGGTGGGAGACTTGCGTTTCGTCGGATGTGGTGGTGGTGTGGTGTGGGATGGACTGGTGGAGGATAGGTGGGGGGGGGGGGGGGGGGGGGGGGGGGGGGGGGGGGGGGGGGGGGGGGGGTGGGGGGCATGGAAGCATGCACGCTAGGGGGCGGTCAGGTCAGGTGCATCACAGGAAAAATATAGCTGACCGTAAAAACTGGGGTTTCCTGCCATAAAATGGTAAAAGTTCGCTAAACATCCAGTAAGCGTAGTGTACATGGAGGTCAAGTAATTGGGGTCCAAATATTGCCTGAAAGAATCCGGGCCGTCTGAACTTGCCCGATAGTAGTCTGTGGCTTAGAGCAAAGCTGTGTTTGTGGTATGCGACGAGTCCAGGTGCTCCAAACCTGTACGACAACCCAAACTCTAAACATAAATTGGAACGAGCCTTGCGAGAACTTCTTGGCTTGCGACTTGTTTACGACTAGAATTTCGTTAACACCCTTGTTCGCTTCGCCACGTCAACCCCAATCGGAAGTGGTCCCAGCATCGTCTGACGTCAATCCCACTGAATTCATGAATATGTACAGCCATCCACCTGGACAAGGCATCCGCTGGTCTTGATGTTACACTATCCAAACAAATTGCAACTCTTTCAAGAAATCCCATAACAATGGAAGCATCCCACACCTGCTTATTGCCCACTATGATTCACAATACAACTACCGTGCCACGAATTTCCGTTCATGGCATAGGAAACATGACCTTGGTCGTCACAGGAGGAACTGGCTTCTCACATGTGCGAACGATGTTAAGAGAATCAACAAATGTAGCCACATAACCTTTTGCGCACGTGCAGTTGTATGTCCCCACCAGATTGATGCAAACAGAGTACTTCACATCCACGCAAGGCCTCATCTTGCACTCGTTAACATCTGCATCATTAACAAACACAAACCTCAATAAGCACAGATCAACACTAGCCATTTCCGAACACAAATTATCCTAAACAAATCAACCACATATAAGCACAGAAAATGGACACTCACCAAGACATGTTTGGGTCGCCTCGTCAAGGGTGAATCCCGCCTGGCACCCGCAGGTCGAGCGGGTCGGCACGGCGTCGAAATCAGTAATGCACTCCCCATTGGGTCGCATCTTGCACCACTTGGCGAACGCGCTGTCCTCTGCAGCCGTGTCATTTAGGTACGATGCACAGGCGTCCAGGACTGGAGCGAGGAAAAGACAGAAGAGCAGAGTAGCAGCAGGGAAAAAAAAAAAAAAACGGTGCCTTGGGGTGAAAGGAAGGAAGCAGTTTAAGCAGAGACAGCAGCAACAGAAGAAGCAGCAGCGCAGCGTCAGAGGAGGCAGCAGCAACAGAAGTGGCAGCAGCAACAGGGGAGGCCAGGAGCAGCACTTTGTGTCCAAGAGGCACGTGGAGTTGGGCACAAAAGGACTCGTTTCCGAAGTGCACTCGTGGTGCACTTGGTGACGGGGTCAATGAAAAGCTACTGCAGTAAGACACACGCGCAAAATGCCTCCTCGTAGTCAACTCAGAAGCTAGTGGGGGCACAGAGCTTGCTGAGAGGGTTCAATGTGACCTTTGAGTCGACTCAAAAGCCACATTGGTCCAAGCCCTTGCTGGTGGTGCAGTCGACTGGTCACTGCAACAGCCCTCACTGGTGGTGCACTTGGTGTCAGGGTCGTAGTTGGGCGCGCAGAGCTCGCAGAGAGGCCCCGTGGTGGTGGGCGGGCAGGCGCAGGGGAAAAGGGGGCAGGGGGCAGGCATAGCGCAGGGCCTATTGAGCCTCACTGGTGGCGCACTTGGTGTCAGGGTCGTAGTTGGGCGCGCAGAGCTCGCAGAGAGGCCCCGTGGTGGTGGGCGGGCAGGCGCAGGGGAAAAGAGTAGAAGTGCATGCAGGGGGCAGGGGGCAGGCATAGCGCAGGGCCTATTGAGCCTCACTGGTGGTGCACTTGGTGTCAGGGTCGTAGTTGGGCGCGCAGAGCTCGCAGAGAGGCCCCGTGGTGGTGGGAGGGCAGGCGCACGTGCCGTCACCCTCGGGCCCGTCTTTGCACGTGCCAAGGTTCTGACACACTGGAGTCCCGGGGGCAAGGGAGGGTCGGGGGGATGGAGACGAGAGTGGGGAGAGGTGGTAAGTAGAGGAATCGTGAGGGCGCCACGTGGTGGTGGGCGGGCAGGCGCACGTGCCGTCGCCCTCGGGCCTGTCGCAGCAGGAGCCCAGGTTCTGACACACTGCAATTCCATCAGAAGCGGGGTATGGTGGAATAAATCGAGATGGGGCGGAGAGTAAATCAAAAGAGCGTAATCGTAAAGCCTAAGGGCTTTCACGAAGCGTAACAGCTTCCTAATAGCAACAGCACGGCATATCAGATTACTAACAGGTCATAACGACACTTGCCGAGCTCCTACTCTGCACGGCACGGCATGGCATGGCATGGCACGGCATACGGACGTCCGTGTCAGGGCATGGCATGGCATGGCATGGCATCGTCCTTACCAGGGCATGGCATGGCATGGCATGGCATGGCATCGTCCTTACCAGGGCATGGCATGGCACGGCATGGCATGGCATGGCATTGCATGGCACGGCATGGCATGGCATGGCGTCGTCCTTACCAGGGCACGCGGTGCAATCAACTCCGTAGAATCCGGAACCAACCAGACACTCTGCAAAAAGAACATGATTTGAGAGCGGAACGCAGGAAAGCCGGAGGGGAAAGGGGGGGTGGCGGGGGAGAGAGAGGGAGGAGTGGAAGAGGAGGGGGGCGGGAAGAGAGAGATGGGGGAGACGGGGGAGAGGGGGGGAGGGGGGAACAAGAGAACGAAAGATACACGAAAATGTAAGATCGAAGTGAATGAAAGGAAGTCAGGCGAAAAAACCGAAGTGAAGTAAATCCCTGATTTAAAAACAAACCAGCAAACAAGAAACGGAACACGACAACGAAACGAACAAGAAAAACCTGAAGAAATATTGGCCTTACCCGCAGCGGCAGCACGCGCCGCAATGACGCAGAGAAGCGCAGCGACGACCACGTGGGAGGAGGACGAGAACCACGTGGTCGACGGAACGGACATTCTGACGCGTCGCGGAAACGACGAAGCCATGGCTTGACGGGGTTGGTTTGCTGTGATAAGATTTGATATGTCAGGGGTTTCACGGAGCGGGCTTGAGTCGACTGGAAAGGCAACCGGGCTTGAAGGTCAGGATGATTAGGCTTGCGTGAGTTCGGATTGAATGTCACTCGAATATGAGACACCTAGTGAGCTTTGAAGTCGTATTAGGAGAATATGAGTCACTGATAATACGAACCTTGAAGCTGGAAGGAATAAAGAGCTGTGAACAGCTGCGAAGAGCGAAGCGCCTAACTAATAGGGCACGAAGGGAGAGAGCGGAGGGGTTGCGTGTATCATCACGGGGGGGGAGGCTGCTTATATTACCTTCTAGTGTCACTCGGAGCGTCGAGATTGCAAGGATTCCTCCCCTCGCTGCTTCTCGCCGTCGATTGCTCTACCGCGTCGGATGTCTTGATGCTAACTTAACGAGTGGAATCCCGGGGAGCACTGGCAACGAGGTTTTCTTATTCGGAGCTGTTTAGCGGCGGAGCGAAAGGAATCCGTATAGCACTCGACCTTTACTCTGCCCCTATGCCCCTTCTCGCTGCTTCTCGCTGTCGACTGCACGAGAGCGATTCGAAGCGTCTCTCAAGAGTCGCTACGGTTCATAACGGGGATTACCGGCATCCGCGCAGCAAATCACATATCCCTTACGACCAGTGGTGAGCGGATATCAGGCCGAGGGAACTACGTGTTGAAAGGGAGACGAAAGGCACAACCGCACAGCACAGAACCAAGGAAAGATACTTCGCGGTTTCCCTCAACACTTCCGACCGATTCTCGCTGCCGCGTCGAGAGAGCGCGGCGCTACAACTAGCACGTAAGCAGGCAGGCGCGATGGGATTGCGGTTGCGCTGACAGCAGTAGGCCGAACGAGAAAGATAGAGGGTGAAAGGAGAGGGTGAATTCTTAGGAAGGGAGACGAAAGGGAATTCTACAACTAAGGTAAGCCTTCAGAACGCTCAAACCCTAGAGGAAGGGTGCTAGAACGTAAATTAACGGCTCTAAAACGTACAGAATCTTACCAAAACGCATAAAACCGATATTGTTGGGCTGTGGAGAAATCTAGGGTACCGCCGACATAAACATAACCACAACCAGGCGGAATAGTGGAATACGAAACGACTGCGCTGCACGTGAGAGAACAGAGGCGGGAATCGGGTAATTAAGGCTCTTCACCGCACAGTAAAGCACCAGAAAAATACGCAAAGCGTTTTGAGAACCATGGAAACACGGGGTGATCTCCCTGAGGGCGCGTAACCATTTTGCATTTTACGATTTTGACGGACAGTCCGCTTAAAACGAAGTGGACGGTCCACCTATCGAGAACGGGACCGTCCGACTGACTTTTTTGAAACTTCGGACTGTCCGAAGACAGTTGTGACACTTTTTTCATAATGTACGATTCGCGATCACTGCGGAGACATTACGCAGCTCTTTAAAGTTCGCGAATGTCGTTATCGAATCATTCTTGTTAATTGGTTGTCTCTGGTTGGTCGATGTCGATTCGAGAAGTAGCCTTGTACGTTTTTGTTGGTGGACGAGGTGACTCGACAGTTTTTGCGTCGCCCTCCAATCGTGTGCAAGGACTGTCGGACAGTCCGTTTGGGACTCGGACCGTCCATGGTTCAAATTTCGGACCGTTGAAGGGGGAAAAAGTGTCACTGAAGTCCGTTTTGTTAGCGATGTCGCCAACACCTCAGCGAAAACAATTACGACATTGTGCGAAGCTTATTACCGTTTCGCTTCCCGGACGGTCCACGGCTCGAGCTGTCGGGTTAAAAATGGTTACGCACCCTCATTTTGAAGGAATACGGAACGGCGTCGACAAAGAATGCTGCCGTTCGGGCAGCTCCAGCTCAGCTTGAGGGGTGGTTTAAGTTCAGACTGTGATTGGTCTGTGCCGTAGACTATCGGGCAGCACTGCACCCTCTTTCTCACTACAGTGAAGCCTGACATCGGCTTGTGCTATGTACAGTACAACACCAACGCGTACAAAACAGTGCAATCACACTGCCTAGAGAAAACAATTTGTCTTGGGTATGATGCTGCATGTCAACTTCGAGATGTTGGAATGTTCATGGGGTGAAATGTGTGGCTGAATGGCGGCAGATGATAACGTTCGCATGTGCGAAATCAGTTCGAAACCACAATTCGCGAATGACGACGTACAAATTGGACACCTTCGATTGGTACACAGCCAGCACCACAAAAGCACATGTGAGAACCAAGTCGGAACACATGATCATCACCGAACCACATCCACTTCAGAACGAACCTAGATATACCAGGTAGAAATAAAAGAGATCCGCCAGTTCTTGGGTGTGGGTCTCGATACGCATGCCGCCCCAATTCACTCCTGTATGTCTAAGGACCAATACACCATTTTCTCGATAACTGCTTACCCCATCCCAATACTTCGAAGCTCCCCAATAAAAGGATTTTGGATTAAAACGGCAGACATCCAGAAATAGGGGGACTTTCAATGGACAACCGGAAGCTGCAAAATATTTAAACCCAGTGTCTCACGTAAGAGATTTTGCCATCAATTGCAAAATATTTGAGACTTGAGTAACCTTGTTTTTGTAGGCGATGTGGACTAGTTTACTAAGGAAGTTGGTGTGCGATACTCCCCCTCTCTTGCTTCAGGTACATGAGACTTTCGACAACACTTGAAATTTCACTAGCGCTGTAGCTTTGGCTCCTAAACTGTTGTCATACATAGAAAGTTTGGAACGCTGCGAACGATTTAGTTCCCTTCGGATGCATCTGTTTTCGTTTTTCCAACATCGTCAACTAATAGGAAAACGGGAGTTTCCTATCAACTTCAAAACAAATTATCTACGTCAGAGCCTGATTTTAAAGTAGCACTTTGTGTTTCGCGAATGGATGTGTGATGGGGTCGAAGGGGGGTTGCTCGAGGAGGGTTGGGAAGTTGCCGGGGGTGGGAAGAAGTTTGCTCAATAAAATTCTTGTTGATTTCCGTCTATTAGTAATAAATTTGCGCGAATCTTCATAAAATGGCTCGATATACGGCATAAATTACCGATGGTATGTACTTAAAGGGTATATAGTTTAAGGGTGTGAAATTGTCAAGAACAAGGTCTACTTGGAACCCTTACCTACTCAGAAAAAAGTCAAGATAGATTCGGTGAATATGTTAGCTACCCGAAAGGCCACGTAAGCAAGACGAAGCTGACCACGCTGCTGCAACTCTCAAGCAAGGAAGTAGCGCATAGAGATATGCTTCGTCCTGTGCTCCAGTCTATGCTCCTGATACAAGGCAATCATGGCCTTGTTGTCGACGTACAGCACTGGAGGAGAACGAGGCGGCTCTCCTAATTCGGTCAGGAGGTAGGTGAGCCAGCGTAACTCCTGTGCAGCCATGACTATTGCGTAGATCTCAGCCTCACAACTGGAACTGAGAACAGAAGAAGAGCTGGTAGACCGCCAAGAAACAGAGCCGGAGGCAAGGTTGGAAGTGTAACCCTGTGACGAGTGCTGCGTAGCCAAGTCGTCAACCCAAGATGCGTCTGCATGTCCAGTGAGAACAACTCGACCCCGTCCTCCAAGCACGAGCCCCATGCTCGACGTAATGCACAAGTAGCGCAACACCCTCTCAGCGGCCTAGTGCTCTGGTCGGTGTCTCCTGGGCGCAACGTAGCGTGAGAGGATGCTAAGAGGGTAGGCAAGGCCAGGTCGAGTACAAGTCATCAGGTACATGAGGCAGCCCTCAAACTCTGGATACAGGCCACTCGGCTCTACGGACTCATCCGAAGGTGGAGCTGAAAGCGACTAACCGGTAGGCAGAGGAGTGGGCTCTCGCGAGGAAAACTGGAAGCGGAAGTGCTGAAGGACCTGCTGCACCATGTGTGACTGAGTCAAAGTAATGGTGCGGCGTGCTCTGTCCTGGGTGATCAGAGAGCCAAGATAGCTCACCCAAGTCTGTCCACGTGTGTCTCTTGTGCAGCTCCGACTTCACAAGGGCCAGTCCCTCAGTGTCAGTAGTGGCAAAGACCAAGTCGTCGATGTACACGAGGATGTAGAACGGCGGCAGCGAAGTGTCGGTGCATAGAAACAGCGACGGGCCAGCAGTCGAAGGAGCAAAAGCCGCAAGCGTCGTCTTCAGTGTATCGTGCGACTCACGAGGCGCTTGGCAGAGACCATAGACTGGCCGCCGGAGGCTCGAACGGGGACATGCAGGAAACGGTCCAGTGATGCCAGGTGGGCGGCGCGTCCAGATCTCCTCGTGCAGGCTGCCCTATAAGAAAGTTGTGCTAAATTCAAGAGAGTGAAGCTCGTAGTCACGCTGAGCGGCGACGTGCAACAGCACCCAAATAGTGGTCATCTTTGGGGTAGGGGAGAACGTCTGGAAGAAGTCAACTCCCTGTCGCTGACTGAAGCCTCATGCAACGTAATGCACCTTGAAGATAGGCGGAGAACCCGGCGGCCGCTTCACCCTGAAAATCCACATGCCATCGACAATGTTCGCCCCAGGAGGGGGAACTGCGTCAACGTAAGTGCTTGTGGACTTCCGGGATGCCATCTCTACATCCATGGTTGTCTGCCACTGAGAGGAGTAGGGACCTGATATCGTCTCTGCGTAAGAGCGCGGGGTTGGGATGTTTTGTGCATCTGGGTCTCCTCAGGTGCAATCAGCATGGACACGACATGAGGTACAGCAGCTGCAAAACACTCAAAGTCCTCCTGCCTATCCTTGAGGACATCCGTGCCCAGAGCAGACTCACCCTTGACGGACGGAGGACAGACAGACTCAGACTCAGCAACAAGACTTGCAGTGTAGTCGAGATGACAGGCGGCAGCAATGTCAACAAGCTCAGCAACTAGGGACAAGAACGTTAGAAAAAGAGGACGCCGAAGGAGACGGCAAGGGAACTCGCTGTGGAACAGAGTAAGGACGAAGTGCCATAACGTGCGTGCCTGGGACAGGAGGAGGACGCGGACGAGGGACACGACGACCAGTGCGAACAGCACGAACAGGCGAGGCAGGAGGAGACGCAGGCTTTAAGAGAGTATGTTTGCTCAGTGTAAAGAGAAGGAGCAGGCAGTGGGGAGGCTGGCTGTAACTGTGACTATGAGTGGTCAGGCGGTGGACACAGTAGAGGTGGAGTAACGTCAGTATTAGACGGGAGGCCAAGAACCTAGCAAAGCAGTGGAACGAAGTATGGTCGTGGCCGCACAGTGCCTCCAGCACTAGTATCGACAGCTCCAGCACCCCCAGCGCCAGCACCTCCAGCTCCAGGGTCTCCAGCTCCAGTACCTGTAGCACCACCAGCTCTAGCACTTCCAGCACCTCTAGCAGCAGCAACACCACTAGCTCCGCCAGCTCCGGTACCTCCAGCAAGAGCACCTCCAGGATCAGCAGCTCCAGCACCTCCAGTAGCTCCAGCGGCAGTGTCTCCAGCATCAACCCCCCCAGCTCCAGCAGCGCCACTCCGAAGGCGGGTGCGCCGAGCAAACCATTCGCGCAGCTGCAGTGGAGAGAGTGGCTCCCGTCCTGACGAGGCAGCCGTAGGACCTCCTGCTCAAACAGTGTTACCAGGCTCAGCACTCCCAGACTCAGCAACCCCAGGCTCAGCAACCCCTGGCTCCGCATGCTCAGGCTCAGCACCCCTAGGCTCCGCACCCTCCGACTCAGCAACCCCAGGCTTCGCACGCTCATGCTCAGCACCCCCAATCGCAACACCTCTAGAAGCACCCCCCTTAGTAGCACCTGAGTCGACAGCTACCTCGACAAGCTCGACATGGTCTACCTGCAACACACCTGAGGGGGCAGGACCCTAAGTGGAGAGGGGGTCTACTGGAGGAGGACCTGGTGTAAGGAAGAGCGGTGGGGGAGGGGAGAGGGGCAGTGCGGTAGGGGAAGAGACGGTAAAAAAGAACCGATTCGTCAAACGTGACAACCTAAGAAGGCAGGACACGGCGCGAGGTGGGGTGGTAAAACTGCTAGCCAGGCACGCAGGGGGGAAACCAAGGAAGACACAGGGAATGGCGCGGGAGGAGAGCTTGTTCGC